TGGTTCAGCAATAGCGGCATCGTCACGATGAACTGCCTCCACCCGACAGGCGCGCGACTTTGATATTCGGACATTCCGCGCTTGATTTGGTGAACACTTCGGCTGCTTTGACCCCCATGTCCTCACAGTCCTCACCATACAGACGTGTACAAATCATGATGCTAGGCTCATTCACACCTTCTTCGCTCCCTAGGCTCAATATTTCGCTGCATGTTGATAATGTATCACTTTGACCTCGTCTCAACCCTGACAACCCTGGTCGGACAAGGCCTGGCTTTCATCCGCGGTACCCAACAGAGTGGTCAAAACCCACCAGACCAGGGGGTGACCCCAGAGGATGGATGCGACTGAAAGCTTGTCGCAATTTGCCTGGTCTGTATGAACGGAGCACAGCTGCAGCCGCACCTTTCTTCCAAGTTGGAAAAGCCCAATAATAAGTCCCGCTTCCGATTCGCGGCTGAAATGGGACAACCGACCAACCTCATCTAGGGCAAAGAGCAAGCACTTCCTTGGAATCGCCCTTTTATCGCCAAGCTTAGCGCGAGATGGACTAGGACAGACGATTCAGCAAAGATCACGGAGTGGCACCGCTGCGGGACTTATCGCATATCACACTTTTGGTCCTCGGCCCCATCGTTCGACGACTGTCACTGAACAGGCAATAGGCGCTATTAAGGGAGCGAATGAGAAGGATGGACTGCCATCCCGTTCCCTCGGGACCAGCCTGTGCGCTGTGCTTGCATCTCTAGCGCTTAGTACACCATCACCCCCTCCCTGCCGTGCTTGTTTGTCTTCAAGTGCGCAAGGTATGCAGTAAGGGCCCCCAGTCTGGCAGCCATGCAGTGCAACGTCGGGCAAGAAACCAAGATGCTTGCCCTCCTCACGGACCGCCACCCCATCGCTCATCTCATGTCAGCTTCCTCTTGGCTCCGCCCAAACTCCACCGGCTACAGCGCCGGCATCAACCTGCGACTTAGGGGAAGCTCCTGCATGATGAGGTCTGCTCCTTTGTGGTAAGAGTGGTTCCGGGTCTAGTTCTGCCGGTTCCCTTGATGAAGCTAATGGCTACATGTACTGGTTTTCATAGAGGCTAAGATCACTATCATACACAATGTACAGACTGTCCTGGCCGCCAGCCACGACTTACCCCGGAATCATATCAGTGTCCTCCAAGCATCTCTCGAGCACAACGGGCGCCGTCTTGGAACTAATAACCCAGGTTTACTTGTGGGACTGGCAGGCACGTGGAGTAGCGTCTTGGCTTTTAGAGACAAAGGATGAAATGACATATTGTAGTTCTTCTTACAGAGTTCGCAGTGTGCCATCCAGTCCAAGATAAAAGACAAAGCCTGTACAAGGACACAAATAATCATTGGCCCTCGGCAGGTTGCCCGTGGCTTCTGGGGATTTGAACGTATCCCGTCCGTGCCAAGGCATACCTAGATACATACTCCGTACAGGAGTGACAAGTCTCTCTTCTTAGCTATGAGACACGGAGTGCGAAAGATTCCGCCTAGTGGTGTTGGGAAAATTAGGTGGATCAATGGTATTTCCAAACGCAGAGGACAAAACGATGATCGCCTCCTGACATGCGGCGCCAGCATTGAGAGTGACGGCAGAATCCCTGCGCGGATCTTGCACCACAGGACACACGTATTAGTACGGAGTAATCCGTAGATGTGTATCTTTTCTAGGATGTATCCACAGAAAGCATCAAGCAGCAAAGTAAAGTAACCTAGGCACTTGCTCACGTAAGCAGGCACACAATTTCCACACATTTGCGTTTTGGTCAGTGCTAAGATATTGCCCTGACGTGCCCAAGCAGGTACTCCGTACCTGATCAGTGATATCAAGTTCGGTCCGAAAAACCGTCCAAAATCCACGCCGTAAATAATTTGACGTGTATGGCCCAAGCTCAAATTTAGCCCAACTGCAATGTATGATATACTAGTTGCTTTGACGTCCGTTGTTTACCTGCATTTAGGCCGCCTTTTCGTGATTGAGGACACTTGCGCGACGGGACAGCCACTTCCCAGCAGACTGGTTAGGGGGCGTCTGGTATGAACTATAAGGCTCTGGAGTCAATGAATATCGGATCCATCATCACACCCACACACTCTCGAAGATGGCCCAGACCGGCTTTGATCTGATCAGGCCCTTCTATTACCAGTGGCCTGCAGTACCGTTGATGGGATGTGGCTGACCCCAAGCCCGCCATATGCGCAGAGTGCCATGCGAGATTCCGGTGCTACAAACGCCACAAAACAAGGATAGCTTGGAAATTTGTTCATCAGGCCATGCCATTTTGCAGCAAGCCCTTACAGCGAGTTTCTAAGACCTCAGCTACCATGGGTTTGGACTAGTACCTGCGGCATCTATCAGAAATTGGTCGCAAGCATCAGGAGGTGGCGGGAGCGCCGTTGAGGACATAAGCCATGATATGCATGGTTAATTTGAAAGTCGGGCCTGACGGTATGTAATTTCAGTCTCGCTCGTTTCGCTTCAAGGGTATGCACATCCACGCCTAAATATTGATTTTCAAAGTCGTCGTTGTTAACGAAGTTTGTCATGTCCGAGTCTATTATGGCCGAGTAATGAATAGGGGCAGGACACAGAAGTGAGGAAAGACTTTGCAGCATTGGATGAAAGTGAGAGTAAGCATAATTAGTCCACATTTTTCTCCTACACACACATTACGCAGTCGGTCAATCAACAATTTATTGACTTTCTGTTTAGTGAACAGGATTTCTCTTGCTCGGACAGCTCCGTTTTGTTCCTTGGACCCTGGTTCTCTTCGCCCTCCTGCCCATCTCCTTCCTTTCTCTCTGTTTTTGATATTCTGCTTATTGTATCATCTTTTTATACCACCCGGAAAATAATGCCATGACGGTGGCTCTCGCCTGATTTCCTTTTCGGTACCGCCTCATCTGGGGGACAGGAGCAAGGACACAGACACACGCCACAGCACCACAGATCTGGGGGGAGGAAAAGGGGAGGGGGCCATATCAAAATGTGTCAGACATAGCGTAGGGCTCTGGAGCGCAGAGTACAGATACCGCGTGGTAGGGTCTCGTGGTTCCCGACTCTTGGCATAATTCCAGACCAACCGTTTGTTGGAGGCGTTCTTTAGCGTTCTTGTGCTGCTGTGAAGCCGGCGGCTAGGCGACTGTCTGGGCCGCAGCCCAGCGGGCGAGGCGTGCAACGGCGCCGCAGCCACCGACCTGTCAATCAGCGCTGGGCTGGTGTGTGCCAGTCGTGTAGCGCCCTTGAGAGCAACCGGGCGGTACTTCCTGGTACGGGGGGTAGAGAAGGAGGGAGGTATGGACTGCGAAGGCGCCGGGAATCTGCCAGGTGGTCCTTTCGCTTTTGCGCCCATGGGACTGGGCCCGAGAAGGGGGTGGGCAAGTCGACAGCCCCGGCTTGACAAGTCCTCGCACTCCGGCTCCTGTGGCTGGTTGGTGGCGATGGGGGGCGGGATGGTTCAATGAATCCAGATGGAGGCTGGGCCAGAGGCGATTGTCACTGCCCAGCGAGACGGCCAGTTCTATTCTTTGATGCGGGAGGGTGTGCGACTGGCTCTTGGTAGCATGACAATGAGCATGAGCGCCCGCCCGCCCGCTCACAAGATGATGCCACTAATAGCCTTTGCATATACGCGCATCTTCCAGCGACTCGAAACCGAATAATGTCGATTACGTGTCAAAGGAAACAAAGGGGGGGGGGGGGCGC